AATATTTTATACAAAATTTACGTCAAGTTTTTCCAAATCAATTTATACAAAAATTCGTATTTTTAAAATTAATCTGACCTTTCCAATTAGAATTTAGCAGAATTATAATTGTTTTCGGGTTTCTACGATTTGTTCACTTCCACCCCCAACCCCCCGTACCGCATTTGCCGAAGGGAGGGAAAAAATTGCCTTGCTGCAGTCACATTAGAGCTATAAATTTAGACTCGCGCTTTAACTGCACGGTAGGTTCAAAATTTCATACTCAAATATAATTTTTATAAGAATATATCGCTAAATAGGAAATAACATTTAAGATATTACACAAAACTATCAATTTTTATTAAAATGCTCCCATTAAAAAAATAAGTTTCAATTTTTAATTACCTAAACCTATTATTTCGTATGAAATTTATATCAAAAATTATAAATATAATATAATATACTATAAATCTGACATTTCCAATGAGAACTCGTCGGAATTTCCATTATACACTTAAATATCATAATTTTTGTGAGAATATATCGCAAAATAGCGGAAAAAATTTAAGAAACTCTTTCAATTTTTATTGACATCCGTATTATTTTTAATTCTTCATTGCCTGTTGACAGAATTATAATTGCAGTCCCAAATATTCTGGATTGAGATGTTGAAAGTTCCATCACTTTATGACTTCCCGCCTCTCTCGGGTGATGACCGGGCAACTGGAGGATTTATCGGAGGTGAACTTGTCTTCAGCGAGAGGAGAAACTTCCTGGAGGAAACCCAGCCCTATTTCAAGTTTATCCGGAGTTGTCCTGAGGTCAATGTTACTCCAGAAATTCTTGCCACTCGTGAGTCTGCACGCACCATTGGGGCTGCTGATTTATTCCTCTCGGTGGAGGACAGTGCGTTCAAAAAAATTGCGAGTACTTGGAGGGAGAAGGGAGTCGTGGAGGCTGTGAGGATAGCCGCTGGTGAGGATCCTGAAAGGGTTAGCAGGATTGTCCACTGGCTGGCTATGAGGTAGGTGTTCTTTTGAAGAATAATTCAAGATTTTTCCAAAATTTTAAACAAATTTTCCGAAAATTCCACGATTTTTGAATTTTTTTGTTGGAAAGGCTTGTAATCTTTTTAATTTATTGAGGATTTTACTTCAGAATTACAAAAATCCTTGATTTCATCGAGAAGAAGACGTCTTCCTACGAGGGATTGCCCTCCATCGGCTCAGGGTCGGTGTCAGATATCGCAGGGACTAGGGACTGGACTACTGCTTTGGTAATTAAATACAGGAAATCATTAATTTTATAATTAAATATTATTCATGAAAAAGTATTCAAAGACTTTTCAATTGACGTTTTGCATTTGAAAAATCACATTTTTTCAGTAGAAGTATTCTTTATAAGCTTATACCAAACATTCTTCAGCCAGAAAACGTCAGAAAATAGTTTCACAGCTTAAAAATTTATCGATTGAAAATCTTCCTGAACTAAACTCAACAAAGACTTATATTATTATTATTTTTATATTTTTTTCATTTTAATAATCTTCACCTTTCATTTTACGACATCAATTCCCCTTACTTTCATGATTTTCAAACGAATTATCCTCAATTTCAATCATTCAAAAGTTTTTTTTCGTAAACACGAATTTTAAAAACTTGTAATTGGAAATATTTGATACAAAATTCTATAGAGAAATTCAAAAGCAAAATGTCATGTTTTGGAAAATTTATTTCTTTCTTATTTATTTTTACAGTTCAATTTAAAAAAAAATGAAAAAAATTGATGGATCGATAGTATTTGCAATTGTATTTAAACCAAAATTCTTCAAATATACAATGATCCTATTTTCTTGGATATTTTTTTAAAATTACGAATTAATTGAATTATGAATTAATAACGATTTGTTTTTGTAGATTCGCTGTTTAGCGTGGCACCCCCACTGCACTCGACTGGCCCTAGCCTGTCGTGACGATCGCATTCGAATTTACTCGAGTGAAATTCAAGGAGTCGCTGTACTGAGACACTCAGCACAAAAATCCGTTTGTTCTATGAGCTGGCGACCAAATGCTGGACGTGAATTGGCAGCTGCTTGTGGCTCTGGTGTTCTCGTATGGTCAGTTGAACTCGGTGCTGCCAGTAATTCCCTGTCACATGCATTATTTTTGAGACAGAGGAATCATGCGCCTGTTACGAGTGTCAATTGGCATCCACAGGGGGATTTATTAGTTTCCTGTTCACCAAATGATTTTAATATGATTGTTTGGGATGTTGCGAAGGAAGTGGGAGTGCCACTCAGGAGAGTCGGTGGGGGTGGCCTGTGCTTTAGCAAATGGTCAATTTGTGGCAGTAAATTGCTCGCTGCCACCTGCGGTAATGTTTTTCGGTACGATTTTATAATAATCTCAATTTCTTAAGTATCATCAAATTTCATCATATTCTACCGATAAATATTACATATTTTTAAAAAATTTATGATAATTTTTTTTAATATTCTGTAAAATTCAGTCAATTCACATTCAAATTCGTCCTTCCCACATAAATCCGCAAATTTCTATTAAAATTTGATAGGATTATAATGGCTGTTTTGTATATCATAATTTTCGAGAAAAAATATCGTAAAATTGTGGACAACATTTAAGAGGTCACACGAAATTCTATCAAATTTATCTTAAAATACATATTATTTCCCATTTTTAAAATAAAAATTTGACATTTTCGATCGCAATTTCCTAAAAGTGCCCTTAGACTCTTAGATTTAAATAATGTAAATGTCTTAACAGTTATATAACGGAATTTCACCATCTCTATCGATTTAACATATTTTCTATATTTATTAAAATCAATTAACTGTTTGTTATGATTTATGATATTAATATCATCTTATCTAAAATTAATTCAAGCCATTAATCCATACAAATAGAGAATTTCCTCAAAAGTCAATTCTAATTTGACTGGCGATTGATTTCCGTTGCAGAAAACCGTGCAGATATTTTGGTTTTGCTCCTGAAGCATTTAAAGAAAAAACAATTACATGGGACACTAGGATGATTAATATAAGTATAACAATTTATTTAAGGGTCTGGAATACTGGTGCTGGTAATCCATGGTCAGTGGAGCGCTGGACAGTGCCAAATGGGCGAGTAGCAGCTGCTTGTTTTGGACCCCATCAAATCCTACTATTTGCCTCAACAGAAGATCCACCGACACTATTTTCCCTGCCACTTCAGGATAATATATTCAATGTCCAGGGCGACAGTCCAGCTAATGATCCTAAAGCTGCTGTTCCCTTAATTGATCTGACGAAAGTTTCATTCGATGATGATGGAGCAGGGGTGACAGTTGGTGGGAGAGTTGTCGCCACTGAGTGGGACCCCAGTGGCCAGTACCTCGCAATTCTTTTTCAAGTTCGTTAAAAAATCCTATAAATAAAAAATTCACTTGCAAGAATCTGAAACTCACCAGCTCCAAGGAAAAAACCAGTCAGTTTTCGCGGAATATCTTTGAATCCACTAGAACCACAGAAATTTCGTAAGCACGTGATTTCTAGTTCTCATTCCCCTGTACAAAAAATGTTTCTACAAAAAATGCGATATCTGTCTTAGATTTGGAGATATTCCTCGAAGAATCTATCGTCGTGTCCTACCTTTGGTGGTGAAATAGAGAAAAATTGTGGTATAGGGTTTAAATAATTCTTTTGTTGTTTTAGGATAGTCCAGTGGTTGCAGTATTCAAAACAGAAATTGGAACGCTCTTTGGTTTGACTGAGGTAACACCGTCTTGCCTAGTGAAGGGATTCCCTGGAGAAAGCCCGAATTGCTTGCAATTCCAGCAAAACATCAACACAAATGGATTAATCGCCTGTTTAACGATTGCCTGGAGCAGTGGACGGGTTCAGCAATTTCCAATTGTCGGGGGAAATAAATCAGCCACTCCTACTAGAACTCCTCCTCCCCTGGACCGCAGTATATCATCATCTGATTATAATCATTACACATTCCTGTGACCCACATCATTCAGATTAATTTCATGCGCCAGAATCGATTTTTTGGATCTTCATGGCTTTCAAATGGTGGGAGGAAATATGGAAATAATAAAAATGGTGGTGCAGCATTTCGTAGTTTTGTATCTAATTATATAAAGTCACATGCAGAGCTCACGACTTTCTATTTTTGTGCCACTTGACCGTACACTCAACGATGACAAGAGAAACCTTACGTATACCCTTTTCACGTACAAATATATCGCATTCCATTTTTTTTAGTTTTCATTCTGTAATGAGTGGAAATAGACGGCAGTTCAACGATTGGCAAGCAC